CGAACCCAGGCGGGGTTCCGTCGAACCCAGCAGACATAGAGGAAGAAGAGGAAGAAAGAAAAAGAAAAAGAAAAAAGGAAGAAGATGATTGAAAGAGGGGAAGAAGATGGATCAAAAAAGGGAGATAGGTAAATTTGTAATTTTCTATTTTTTTATTAAGGCAAAATTGGTTGATGAGTTGGTGGTGAGTTGGCACTAACGTGGCTTAAAAAAAAATTCTAGATCAATATTTTTTAAAATTATTTTTACCACGTCATAAAAAAAACTATAAAAAATGCCACATGAGCGAGTTAACTGCCCGAATTAACAGAAGGACTAACGGAATGCATTTCGTATAGTTAAGGGATCAAAAAAGTGCAAAAAATTGTTGAGGGACCAAAAAAGTGCAACTCACTAAAGTTGAGAGACCAAATTTAGCATTTAACCAATACTCTATACATACTCTTCTTGAGTACTCTATTGCGCCAAACAAAGCTATGAGGATCTTCACAAAGCTCGCTGCACCACTCACTCGGCCTCCTTTTTGTCTTCCTCTGTCTTAAAACTGCCTTCTCATCCTCTATACATGCTTCTTCCTTCTCAACAACGCATCTCTGCTCTCATGAGGAGGCTCTTGCTTTGCTGCAATTCAAGACATCCTTCTCCATCAATTACGCTGTTCCGTTTCCATATTATCCAGATTATTGTGTGGATAGGTTTTATACTAAACCTAATTATTCTAAGATTGAGTCATGGAAGGAAGGTATAGACTGTTGTTCCTGGGATGGGGTTAGCTGTGATAATGTCACAGGCCATGTAATTGCCCTGCCCTTAATCTCACCTGCAGTTTCCTTTATGGCACCTTTCCTTCCAACAGGACTCTTTTCTTCCTCAGAAATCTGCAGAGCCTCAATCTTGCCTTGAATGATTTTAGGCTTTCCAAGATTCCACCAGAAATCAGTCTGTTTACTAGACTAAAGAAGCATGTATAGAGGATGAGAAGGCAATTTTGTCATTTTGAATGTATAGAGGATGAGAAGGCAATTGTGAAATTAGTAATTCTTCAGTGGATTTTCATCCATACTGATTTTCATCCATATTCATTCATCTATGCTCCTACTGCTACATATTACCATACTTTCTTTTATCTATGCTTCCTTACAAATTAGAAATGACTTCTATTTTGCTTGCATTGATCCTTTCATTACTCTAATGTTTTGGATCAGTTGATTATGAAATTGTTTCT